CACACCCCCATTGGAAGGATGCTCCTCACTCTCCATGAATAAGCCCTGCATTCCACTCATCCTTCCTCTCCTATTACTCGATTGCACTATTAACTGCTGAGCTAACAGAAAAATTAACACTCAGTGCCAGTACATTGTCTTTAGCTGGCCCTGCCGTGTAGAATGTTTAGTAGTAGGTCAATTTCTAGACATTTCAGAGTGTTAAACACTACAAAAAGAGACCAGCTGTGCACTGTATACCATCCCCCCTATAAAATATCAATAATTATTTGATATAATATTGCTGAAAAGCCATCAGGGTGGTGTATAGCAGTTTAATATGCACTAAAAAGACAATGCAAAAGGAATAAAACAGCGAGCATATGAATAGGAAGAATGGCTAGTCAACCAAGGCAGGCCTCCTGGGAAAAACAATGTTTTCAGGAGGTGGCAGAAACACAATGTTGCCAGTCCCTTCATCTACGGAGGCAGGAAGTTAGTTCCACAGAGATGGAGCCACCACACTTAAGGCTCTTCTATAGGGAGGCTTTAATCAGGCCATGGGTCAGTGTGGGACCAACCTGTCTGGTGATCTCTGACTGGGTCGGCTGTTAGAGAAGGCACTCTCTGAAGTGCTCGGAACCCAAGTTGCTTAGGAATTTACACACTCCTGTAAAAACTTTAAGCCTGGCATGGAAAGGCAGGTTTCTACCATAATTTTTTAGGTTTCTACTATCATGTTTTACAGTTTATTCATTGTTAGTAAAAAACAAAAAGTTGACATAATAAACATTCTAAAATCTGTATTAGTGTAATACTTTTATTAGGTCAACAAGGGCAAATATTGTGCAAGATCTTCAGATCTTTTAATCAGCCAAAATGCTACAAAAAGCAGCTTTTGAGGAAGAAGAATAGGGAAGGAAAAGAGCTGATTGATGGTGAAGCCATTGTTAGTGTCTCGTCTCGAAACAGTGTGGTAAGCAGGGGGTGGCAGGAAAAGGTCCCTGCAAACATTTAAATTAGGCCATGCAGGCCATGTGATGGAAGGACCTGCAGCTCCTCCAAAGACTGATGGGAATCAGAAAAGGGGAAAATGTTGTATCCCTCATTTTGAAAGTGCAGGGAAATTAGTGTCAAACTGTTTGCTACTTGTAGTAATCTATGGCCTGCACTCTCATCCAAACCCACCTGTTCAGCTGCTACCTACTTCAAACATTTATTTCCAACTGAGGGACCTTTCACAACGTACATTTCCAGGGATTGCCTTACTTTAATAAAGGACATTTCTGCCAGACATCATTTTCTTCAATGCTTTGGAATAATGATCAGTATTTCTGAAGAGTGGCATGACCCTCTATGGATAAGCAAACTTAACTAACGTTCATGTATGAGCATGACGAAATAAGCTTTATTTCCCTGCTGAGGAGCACTTCCTGGGCAGCTGAGACAACCAATCATCAAGACATCAAGTAGCTGGTGTTAATTACCAACAATTAAGGGCAAGGATACTACTAGACCTGCTTTAGTGGTCACTTGTTAATACATGCATGTTCTCAACCATAAACACATGCAGGAGTTAAAACAGTCTTCCAGAGGTGTTGACCTACAAGTCCCAAGAATTCTAGTTCAGCACATCTGGAAAGCACCAGGTCTGGTAACATGGGTAGAGGTTGCTGGGAGTGGCAGTTCTTAACATCTGCAGATCTACCTTCCGCCCAGCCCCGAGCTGGACTAATCTTACCGAAGAATTCACTTGCTGGGTGCATCACAGCTGCACAGAACTGGACAAGCTTGTTATCTTAGCATACCTATGGGTTATTGCAGCCCCTTGCTGTGACCAGAGGGATGGCTTTCCTTTTACATGACAAATGATGCTGAAGATGAAACTCAAATACTTTGGCCACCTAATGAGAAGGAAGGACTCCCTGGAGAAGAGCCTAATACTGGGAACAATAGATGGTAAAAGAAGAAGGGGATGGCTGAGAATGAGGTGGCTAGATGGAGTCACTGAAGCAGTCGGTGCGAGCTTAGGTGGACTCCGGGGGATGGTGGAGGACAGGAGAGCATGGAGGAATGTTCCCCATGGGGTTACGATGGGTCGGACACGACTTCACTAAACCACAGCAGCATGCTGAGGCAACTTCAAGGCCTTCTGTAAAGGGCCAGTTGATTTAGATCACTTGGTTTAACTGCAAAAACATTGCAGGTTCTCACAATGTAGTACAGCTGTACCATGACTATTTTTAAAAGGTGAGTTGGACTCCTAGGTGATCAACTTGCTGCCAAATTCTATGGCCCTATTAATATAAGCATTCCATTTCTAGCATTAATATATAAACATTGTTTTATAATATGCTTTATTAATATATAAAGCATATATAAAACACTTTCCACATTTTCTACTCCTTCTTCGCTTGTCAGACAATTTGCATATGGTTCCAGGCCAGAATTCTAACTTTTGTACCAGAACGCAGATCATAAACTTTGCCCCAAACATTTCTCCCAATGTTGCAAACCAACTCGGTTGCATCAAGTTTATCCTTTATTCAGCCTGAGAAAAGTATAGGCAAGGATGTTAGTTAAGTTGCAAAAGCACAACGTGCAGCTAATGTCCTTTTTAGATCCTCTTTCACCGATGAAAATCATGGCTTAATTCCTTGGCAAATAGCTTCCCTTAACTTTCCTCATTACACCTGTGAGGGAGAGGTCACCTGCCTCTTATCTTCCTCTGGTTCTTTTTCACATGGTTGCAATAGCAATTATTTCTATTTTAAGGCAACAATGGCTTGGCTCCACTCCTCTGTGCTTAGCCTTTGAGAGCCAAAACAGACATGATAAATATGTGTCTAGCAGCTACAACTTCTCTTAGATTTGGATCAGGAATAGGCACAGCTCCCTCTTAATCCAGAAGGGAAGCTTTTGAGATCTGAACTGGAGTCCCTGCATCTTCTCTAGAGTAAAATACACACTTAAGAAATGTACTAGATACAAATTTAAGGTAATGTCTGTTGGTGCCCCAAGATGAATCCCAAGGTGTCCACTGGCCCATTAAACCACCTTTGAGAATGCACTGGTAGCTTCCCCCATGGCCATAGTACTAGAGGTTGCAATGCAGGCCTCTAGGGTTCCCATGGCCTACTAACTTTGTAACTAACAGGTGAGCCCCACCCCATTTCTACTTGGCAGATGAAGTCCTTCCTGCCACGGGGCAACATTTTACGTACACAGCTACTCTAAAAATTGCTGGAGCTAAACCAGCCCAGGAAATGGGAAATCTACATTCTTCATCAGCAATCAATGACCTTGTATTCCATGGAGAGGTTTTAGGGCCACCCTCCATGAAGCCAGCTGGACTGCAAGTATTGTGGCCAAAATAAATGGGCTTTTAGTAGCTAAAACTTTGTTTGCTCTTGAGTAGGCACAGGGTATCCATCCAAATTGGGAGACTGGCGTTGTGTACAGCACATGTTAAGATCTTAGCTCACCCAAGGAAACAAAAGACATCACTGCTGAATGCACATTTGAAGCAAAGGCTGTTTGGGACCTTATCTTGTATAACTGACCAGGGTGTCATACACAGAGATAACACCCACTCTATAGATGCTTGCTTCCAGATGCAGGTACATTAACTTTGACATTCTGTCCTGCTGGAATTATTTTTCCTTCCTCATTTGGCACTGGTAAAGAGGAGAAAAGGAACACAAGCCCCAGTTCTCTAGGGGCTTTAAGAAGTTAACTGTGCCTTCCAAGCCACCCTGTGAGCAAGAAACCCCAGAGATGATCCCAGTCCCCTTGGCTAGCCATGCAGTCATATGCCAAACCGGACCCAACCAGGAGTTTGGGAAGAAGAATTTGCCCCCCCCCCCCGCTTGCCTGAGTGTGCAATTGCTTTGTTTTCCTTGGAGCAAGGAAGAGGTTACAGGAAGGATTTTACACCTGGAAGAACACTCTGCTCCGGGCGAAACTATTAGGCATAGGACTCTAGGCAGAAACTGAAAGGCCATGTGCTTGGCAATCACCAGGGTCCAGTTCAAGCCTACCCATGCCTCAGCAAATACTGCGGGGGTTAATTTTGCAGCACTGCAGCGAATCTACACAACTTGTGATGCATTCTCGATCTGGCCTTCTATAACTTCCTTGCTGCCTTTAAAAATACACTCAGACCAAGGGGGTGGGGTATATACAGTTGCCTGCTCTTAACCAGACTCTTCCAATACTTCATTTTCTTTTAAGCTTCCCCGCACCCTGCTGCCAACGTCCCAGTCTCTTCGGGTGGTCCTTTCCATCCAGCTTCTGCGAGGACATTTTCCCAAAGCCAAGTTTCCTACGCTTACCCTACACAAACACCATATTTACAGCTAACTCGGCCTCTTCCCCCGCCCCACCATTCATTCTGCTACTCCTCCTCCGCTACTCAAGGTTGGCAAAAATTGCGGAATTCCTTTAAAAAGCTCTCCCTACCACTCTTTTAGGCATTGAGGGATTGCGCACATGCACTGAAACACAAATTCTTAAAAGCACCTAATCTAACCAGGCAAAAGGAGCCGAGGGACTGTTTGCAGCCCGCACAAACCCTTCAAGGGGGCTACTCGGCATCCGAGGGCGAAAACCAGCCCTCCTCTTTGGTCCAGGCAGACACCGAGCGGGGCGGGCGAGACGTGCAGTCCTCCCCGGCAGGCAGGTTCAGCTGCGAAAGCAGCTCGGGACACGCGCTTGCCCGCGGACGGCTGCCAGGTCCGTCCTGGGGGCGGCGGGTTGGCCGAACCGGGGCTCGAGGGGGCGGACCAGCGCTGCGCCAAGCGGGTGCCGCCAAGCCCAAGGCGCCGCGGCGCCTTCCCGGCCGCTCTTCCGTCCCATCCCGGAGCTTAGTCAGTGCCCTTCCCGGCGACCCTGCGGACTGGAGCCCGGCCCTGGAAGCAAGACCACCCCCGGGAGGTCTCGAGGCTCCGGGACGCGGAGCTACCCGCTGGAAACAGCCGGGGAAAGCGGCCTCTCCCGCCCCGCGCCCCGGCGATACTTACAAGACTAGATCGAAGCCGCTCTGTGCATGATCCGCGCACCGCAGCCGGCAAACGGACTGACCCTCTCGGCCCGCTTAAATATCCAGCCGTTTTGTAGCCTCTGTTTAGTTAGCCACTCACAGCGAGAGAGATGGTTTTAATCAGATGTTGGCAGCTGAGCGCTGCCCAGGAATGCGCTGTGATGGTTTTGCTGCCTCGGCTTTGGCGACTCCCCCTCAACGTGCCTTGTGCTCCCAAACTTAACTCTTTCTGCGCCGGGGAGGAGGAAAGGGAGGAGGAAGAGGAGGAGGAAGCGGCGGCGGTGAGAGGAGGGTGTCCACAAACCGCATTCCCTGGCCAGAGCCCGGGCTGGGGACTGCGAGGTTCGGGATCGGAGAAGAAAGGGCTCTGGGCATGTCTTTCCACTTCGTGGACAGCTATAGGAACGGGGAAGGCTGCAAGCAGACACTGAGGAAGGCTGGGGTGGGTGGTTCTGTGCACTTCTGGTGGCCCATACATCTCACTGAGCTCAATGGGGCTCCCATCCAGAGCAACGTACATGGGATGGCAGCCCCAGAGATTCGTGGGGCCTAATCCCTTCTCCCTTCTGGCAGCCCCAGAGATTCGTGGGGTCTAATCCCTTCTGGCACCCCTCAGCTCTCCCAGCGAGTCAGAGGCCCTCTGGTTGAACCTCATGTGACTTATGAAAGGGACTTCTGCAGAGGAAGGTGTCAGAGAATTGTGGCCACAGGGGCCTGCATAAATGGCAATGCACACATCAGCATGGGCAGTTTGGGGGTCTCTTGTTTCTGCTTTTGCAAATGATACTATCATCATCATCATCATCATCATCATCACATTTGTCTTCCGTGTGCACACGCCATCTGGACAGCCCTGCCTTGTTTAGAATGTATGTTTGATGCAGGAATGCCTCCTTTTTATTTTCTGTCCCGCAGTAACCACATTCACATGGGAAGTAAGCACAAAATCTGTCGGAAGGTGCTTCTTTTAAACCTTATTCTATCTGTGTTGCTTTCCAAGTAAGTCCTGTTGAGTTCAGGACTAGGCATGAGATGTTTGGGAACAGAGGAAAGGCAGGGGACCTAAGGAAAAGGGTGCTGTCACGCTAAGGTCCTGCCTGTAGGCTTCCCAAAAGCCACTGTGTGAAGAAAATGCTGGATTAGGCCACCTTTTGCCCTGACCCGAGAGGCTTTTCTTATGTGCTTAATGCACTGTCAGCATGGAACTCAGTGGAAATCTGGATTTGCAGTAAAAATTATAAGGTCAAGCTACTAGGGTGAAAACTTCCATAGCTTCCTCCTGCTAACCTATGGAGCTGGGGCAAAGTCTTTGTTTACTCAGAAGTCCCACTGACTTCAATAGGCTGCTCTCCTAAGTATGTGTGCCTTGGATGACATGTGGCCTTGGGTCAGGAGGAAGGGAAACAAACTCCACGAATGCTCAGGCAGGCTCCTTTTACTAGCTCTGCCCCCCCCTTCCCACCCCTTGTGAGAGCTAGTATTGCATAGTTGCTGAGCTATAAATCAGAAAGCTTCCTGTTCAAATGTTGTCTCCATCACACTATTATTTTATTAGCTTAATCTTACTATATTAACATCCCATCTTTTTCCTCCAAGAAACCTGAGGCAGAGAACATATAAGTCCTGCTCCCTATTTTATCCTCACAACAGCCCTGCAAGCTAGGTTAGGCAGAGAGTCAGTGCCTGGCCTAAAGTCATGCAGTGAGGTTCATGGCTGAGTGGAGACTAGAACCCAGATCGCCTGAGTCGCAGTCCTATACTCTCACCAGCACAGCACACGGTTTCCATTAGATAGCCTTCTGAAAGGCAGTTTAAGCCTCAGTCCAGCCCCGCTCCCATCTGCAACATGGGTTATATTAATACTGACCAACTTTCACAGGGCTGTTGCAAGAATTCTAAGTAGAAAATGTGTGTGCCTTCTGAACACTTAACGGCACTGTAAAAGCATTGTTCTTGCATCCTTGCCATGTCTCCAAGCAGTGAGAAGTTCCAAGAGCAGCATGAGAAGTTTTAGTTTCCTTTGGATATGAGGAAGCCTAAGACTGAATGGTATTTTAGTAATATTTGTGGAACTGGAACATAAGTGGAAGTGACTGCCATTTTCTTCAAGGTCAAAGTTCCAAGACTGCACCCTCATTTCTAGCTAACTCTAGCTAGAGATTCTCAGCTGTCTTTTTCTCTCTGCACCTGACTGCTGGCTCAGTTTCTGAATTGCCAGCTCCTAATTCCCAGAACCTATCTCTTAGTTGTCCCAGCTGGAATAGCTTCACCTTCTTCAAACTCTGGTGGGGCTGTCATTCCCAGATCTCAGGAAACCCTCTCCTCCTTATTAGCTCCCATCAATGAAACATCAACTAAATTTTCCTGACTCATCAATAGTCAATCATGATCATTATTTCTAGACTGTCTTTAAGGCTAGAATCCCCTCTTGCTTGCTGCTGGCTACTGTTAGAAACCAGATGGTGGGCTATTGAGCTGTTCAGCCTCTCCAATGTTCCTGTGTAACAGTATCAAGTAAATGCATGTGTTGTCCTCCCTTGTAAGCAGGGCTGGACCTTCCACGAGGCCTGCATCATCCGGAGGAGTGGTGGGCTCTCCCATCCACCCAAGGAAGGCCCACTGGCATGTACTCTGGAAAGCCCTCCAGCCATAGCATTTCCTGCAACAAGAGATGCTTAAGATGGATGCATTTCAAACAATGATAAAGCATTTCAAGTAGATGAATTTAAGACGATAGAAAATTAATGTACAAGGGATTTTTCCCCCAAGAAAAAGGCATGTTTCAGAAGAAAGAAAAATAAGATCCAGTCAACTTGTGATCCATGGGAGAAGTTGGAGAGAGAGAAGTAAGCAATGAGATGCCTGCTTGGCCATTTCTCTCCTCAGGTGAGTCATCTCAGTTCCTAACAGTGTTTAGGTATATTAAAATATTTAGCAAAGTATTAAGTTGTAAGTCTGCCATTCCCTTGCAATTAAGTCATAGAGGCCATGAGAATCTGACCAGAGGTGTTTGATCCTGCCAACACTGCTACTCGGGTTCTTCGGAGTGCAATTGAGGTAGGTACAGGTACCCTGACCCTGTGTGCCTAGCCTCTTCCAGGATGCAGTGGGCTCATGGGCCGGGGGACAGGGGATACCTGTTGTAGCACTCATCAGATGGCGCAGTGGATCCCAGGCTTTCAGGAAGGCCGCTTTGGCACTTCTTGACAAGCAGGGAGGCAAATAACATCTGCTTTCTTCTGCAGTATTTCTTGTTTCTCCTCTGCTTACCTGCAATTTTGAACTCTCCGTGGAGGGGGGATCAATTTTTCCCAGTAGCAATATGCTGCTCCTTCCTGTAATGCAAAGTATTTTGAGGTGGCTTAGTCCTACATGGCCAATTAAAACCCTCCCGTTCCACACAAGACCTCCTTCTGGTGGAGATGAAGACCACTAGAACTGGTTTGCTGATATGGATCGATGCAGCTGCCTGCATTTTGGACTCACTTTGGACTCACTTTGGAGGGTAGCTTTGGGCAGTCTCACGGCAGGGTTCACATGTTCACAGGGGAATATGCAGGGACTGGGTGGGCAGGCAGGCTGTAGCTTCAACTGATCCCAGAACCCTACAACAAGCCACAGTTTTTGGGGTGGTTTGGAAGCCACCCCTACTGTGCACCTCAATAGGTTCAGGCAACAAGGGAAGCTGTACGCCATGAGGGTAATTAGGTAAGTCACATGCAGTGCAATTGGCACATGCGAGGCGGGCAGAGAAGCCACCACGGCTTCTTTTCTGGAGTGACTGCACAAACCTGGGGATGATTGGTGTCTGCCCTTCAGCTCATACTACTGCACTGTGACACTTGTCATTTGAGACAGGAAACTCTTTCGAATGCCTTGGCTCAGCTTTTCACATGTAACAACATAGCAAAGAGATGATTTCATTTCAGCTTTCAAGAGGCTACTAGGCTCATGGAAGTCTTTTTCCACTAAGGACTGTGGAGATTAAACTATAACTCCATGATCCCCAGCTGAAAAATGCAAGCATCACTTGAGTACACTGCTTCCGCACTGCTCCCTAACTTGCATAGAGGTCTATATGACCTTGGTCCTCAGGGTGGCTTGCAGAACAAACCGTGGAAGAGGGCCAAAACATGGAATTGCTGAGTAGGACACCCAACCAACAGCCAAGAGATGGATTGCGGTAGTGAAAGAAAGACCCTCTTCCCATGCTCTCGGGCAGTATAATGTGGACTGAGGAATGTGTGCATGTATGCGTACTGGCTGGGGATAAGGGGAGCTGTAGCCACTGAATCTCAGGGGCAACATGTCGGGGAACTCTGCCTTACAGAAACCTGTGAGTGGGCAGCTCTTTACGGACTTTATCATGATGTCCTTCCTGCATCCAGTGCTAGCACCAGGAGTCTGAAGGAACAAGACACCACCTGGGGGCCCTAAACCTTCTCACCACCGTTGTCTTCACCCTCTTTCTCATCCCTGTTAGCAATGGCTTGCTTGATAAGCAGGGAGCCGGAGAGGAAAGAGGCAGTGGCATCTCTGCCTTCTCCTCCTTACCACCTCCAGTCCCCTCGAGGCTGCCTCCCTTGTCCCCGACACACACAGAACCACTGCAATTGCCGCAACGAACTCTCCTCTCTGTAATGCCTTGACATGTAAAGAGCCAAGCCCAGGCAAGGGACACAGCTTCCCTGTCTCAAATGAAGCTCTAGCAGAAAGCAACTATAAAAAGCAACTGGAGAAAAGGAAGTGATACAAGCAAATCCTAAGAACAGGCAGGCGCTGTAATCCAGGATGTCTAGAGATTACTCATGGTTGTATGGTCATCACCCTTTCCTGTGGATATGAATGGAGAAACTTGCATGTTCTAACAAACCCTACCAAGGTCCCAGCAACTTGGCTGCGAATGCAAGCTTTCAATACCATCTTAAAATGTTGCTTTTACAGTAGACTGCAAGCTCTTGGTGGGGGAGGAAAACAAAACCACCTGGAATTAGCTGCTGTGTTGTGTTGCTCCAAGCAGATCTTTGGTTTTTTAGTTTTGTTTTTGCAAACAACCACGGCTGTTACTCCAAAACAAGCAGTGCTGCCATAGGAAGTGCTCCGGGTGCCAACAAGTGCTTAAAGGTAATCCTCTCCTGCCCTGCCCACCCATGTCTAATCTTCATTCAAAATGAAATCCTGATGAGTCGAATAATCACTGGTTTAGACAGTATTAACATTCAGAAAGTAACAAAGAGATTTACCAGTGGTGCCACTTGCCAGCCGCAAGTAAGATTGACACGCTGAGAAATAATTTCACAGGAGTGAGTTTGTCTCCTCCAAGTACGTAGATTTCAAGTCAACAATGGAAGAGGGGCTCAGAGGACTCTCTGCTCAGCTTTGAGAAATGCACCTGTGAGAGTCATGGGGCTTCATAGAATTAACATGACTTCATTGCTTTCTGCTGTGCATTGGAGAGGTTGAAAAGGGGCCCTTTGCATGCACCAAAATGCTCACACAGGACTCTTCCATGAAGGGGAACGCTGATCTTCCCAGCATCCCTCCTCTGTGTGGAAGAGCTCTAGATGCAGAGATTGGCATCCTTGTAGGTGCAGCATAGTTGGGCACCTACCAAGGGCCTCACCCCAGCAGAGGTCAACTGGCAAGCACTCCTCGGACTTATTGCTCCTCTTCACCACTGCGACCTGGCAATGGTGGTGGTGAGATGGAGGAATGGTGGAGATCATGACCTACTTCCTCTGCCTGCCAGGCAAGCGAGTGGTAGCACTGACGAGGCACAAAAGCAATGGATGGCAAGGGTGGGTGACTCCCTGAGGAAGGGGGAAGGGTCATTGAGGGCGTCTTGCCTAGGCGCCCTCAGAAACATGGAGCCAGCCCTGTCAAATGGTGGCTGAATGAGCAGCCAGTGGGGTGTGTGTCCATCCAGTAGATGTATGAGTGCAGTGGGTGGGGCTAGCTCTTGCAGTCCCAGCACTCCTCAGGTGCATGTTTAATGTGTGTGGAGTTCACGTGAGCCCCCTAACATGACACCAAATACATGCTTTCAAGGGAGAAAAAAGACCTCAAGGCAAGGTCAAAAAGTGGAAATCATGCATGGGCCATTACGGGGTGCTTAAAATGATGTGTATGTTCGATCATGCTGAGAGTAGGCAACCAACTGCCCCAACCCCAGAATGGTACCTATTGGCCACCTTCTGGGCAGAAGAGGATGCTCGCCAGCAGGGGGTTGGGCCCAATGGCCTTCATGGTCAGTTCCAACTAGGCATGTCATGAGTGGAGTTGGCTGGAGCCGGAGGTCAGACTAGATGGCCCAGGAGACCCCTTCTGACTCACTCTGTTTTTATGTCCTATGTTAACTCTACTGTTCTATGATTCTGTCAGCCCCCAGAATGCCAGTGTGGGAGTCTGTAGGGCACAATTCTCATCTTTTCTTTAGCCAAGCAGCCTGTCAGAGTGTACCATTGCAAACTTCTGGGAAAGACTTGAAGATACATATTTCCTTATGTATGGATGTGTTTGTTTATATAAAATACCCAAGTGGTTCTTGGGTCTTACATGTTTTGGATCCTCGTACTGTTTGGGCTGGAAGTTCAAAATGTTCAAAACAAAATTAAGTTTTGCTGTGCTATCGTCAAGTAGGATTTTTTTTCATATGGGATTTTATTCTTAAAGCCGGTCATCAGGTCTATGAGCCCCAGAGGAGGCTGTAATCCACCCCATTGCAGCCTGCTCTGCAAGGACAAGGCTGGCTCCCAGCATGCTCTCTGATGGGAGATCCTCTGTTACATGCGGTGTGCTTCCCCTGCAGAGGTGTTGCTCAGGATGAGCCTTCAGCTCAGTACTCCTCCACATGGGGGTGGCAAGGAAGTGACCCATTTATCTGGCACTTGGAGAAGCTGCTGAGTCCCTTGGCTTTGCCTGCCCCATGTCCTCCCCGGTGTGGAGATGTGGGGCAGACAAAGTTGAAGCACCAGGTGGATCTTCCACTTGGAATTTTGGCCAGAGTGTCTTCCCTGGCTGGGTATCTTCCTGAAAGGGGAAGTGGCCCTGATGCCATTCATCAGGGAGGGCTGGGTAGGTGGGGTCATCAGGCCCCTTAGCCTACAAAGTGCAAAATATTCCGACAGACAGACAGACAGACAGACAGACAGACAGACAGAAAAGAGACTATCCTCCATCCAGTCAGGGCCAGCTGAGTGAGAGGGCTGCTTCAAGCAGCGGTTGGGGGATGCCAGCAAGGTGTTGGAGGAGAGAGCATGTATGCCATGCAACCTGTTCTTCCTCAGTTAGCCTGATGCCCTCAGGAGCAAGGGCACATGCTGTTGCACACCCTCTCAGGAAGGAGGAATGAACTGCCTGTCCATTTGGCGTTCATACTTGGAAGGGAAGGAGTACCGGCTTGTTCTTTGCCTCAGGGAGCAAATGTCTTGGGCTGACCCTGTCCAGAGAACCCCTGAGGCTTCTATGGCAGCGCCCTTTGATTGTGAGAAGGAACCATCATCCAGTGCCTTGCTCATCTGACAATTCAAGATCACTATAGTAAATTTTATTGTATTTTATTGTGTTGTAAGCTGCCCCGAGGCTTTGGCAAGGGGCGGCATAGAAATGTTTTAATTAATAAATAAAAATAAATAAATCACACTTTTGTTCTTTTTGATGACTCCTTTCACCATTAGGCCACTCCTTTCCCCCGCTTCCTCCTGCTTCTCCTTAATGATGTGGTATAAATAATCTTTTTGCTCTTAGAGATGGCTGTTCCAGATTTCAATTATAGTGAATACAGGAGGAAGGTATATATCAAGTGAAAACATTGATCTAATCCATGGGGAATCAGACCAATGCAACCTCTAGGGCATTTTGGGAAAAGCAAAATTGTGGCTGCCAGATATTGTTATGCAATACTGCTCCTAAGGGGAGGGGTGCTGCCCTCCTGCATTTATAAATAACACTCCTGACCTCACATCTAGAGATTTGTGCTGCGTGCCTGAATATAAACTGAAAACCAGCGCTTCAGGCTGTAGCTCATCTGGTCAATGCAATAGTGATCATGAAATTTTTTAGGCCATCATTTGAGGTCATAAGCTTTGCCTTCTTCCATAGATTCACTTTTTAACCAGTGAAGTTCTGTTTATTCTTCTGTGGCTAACACTTCCAAAAATTCAAACTGGATTACCTTAGTTTTGGGTTCTCAAGTCATAAACCTCACCCTGCATTACAAAAAGCTAGCACTAGTATTATTTGGGGTGATTTTTGACCCCAGAAGAAAGAGCTTCAAGCAAGAGAAATGCTGCATATTAAATGTTTTTGTACCAGCTGAAATTTCCCCCAGGAGGTTTCAATCAATGTTAAGAATAGTTTTCAGCTTTTGGAGAGTACATGTTTGGGTTAGGGTTTGATACTTCCTGAGGCTATGCAGAACAAGAAAATCTACATAACCATGCTTGGTTCATTCAACTTTTCTCAGCATAACAATATTTTGGCCTATTTACTTAATATATAGCAAACATTCCCTTAGTTTTGGTTCTATTTTGGAAAGTTTTTGCTAAGAATATTACCACTAAAAGGGAACCAAGATGATCTGTACTGAACCTTCTTTTGTTTGCTTGTTTGAACCTATTGCTTGAGGCATAAAAGTATCCTATAAAACTTTTATATGCCCTGGGAATGTTTTGGTTTGAAGGGGAGACAGGAAAGTAAAAGCCAGGAGGCTGAAATTTGGGAAAGTTTTGGATTAGGCACTTTGTGGCAATGTCATAGAAAGATAAGGTGGTAGGCCAATACAGAATGTGATTGGAAGATGCCAGTTAACGCAATAATACTTTATTAAATGTGTTTGAACATCTAGAATTTCCCCTCATGCATATTTACTACTTCTCCAATGTAGCAAGTAACCTTCGTCAAGCAGATAGCCTACCTGCCTTGATCTCTGTGTTACTTCCACCATCTGTTGTTCATCTCCAGCCTTCTAAACACAATGGGATGGATCTAGTATGATATTAAATGTAGAGACTACCACTTGCAGAACAGGATGTCTGCCTTTGTACTCTCAAAATCTGCTCTGGAGGATCTCCTCCAAAGAAAATATCAGAAACCCTGAGGACATTGATGGAGCTCAGACAATCCCCAGGACAATACTCCAAGACTGAATGTGGATTGTTACTGAACTGCGGTTATTCTCGAAACATGGGTTATTGTGTTGTCTGAACCCAACTGAAATAATAAACCATGGTACCTGTACTTCCCAACCTAACAGCAAACTAAAGATTCTTTTCATAAGCTGGTACTGATCAACCAGGCCATGGCTTGTTAGCTTAACTGGGTTCAGACAATACAATGAGCCACATTTCAACAACTCACATTCAACCTGTACACCTTTGACTGTGGGTTATTATGTTGTCTGAACCCAGTCACTGAGATAAGGGACTGTGAGGATTATAAAAAATGCAATGACTAACATAATGAACATGAGACCTAACCACAAAGTATGCCAATCGTTTTGCGTGGGCTTCAAAATCAGCTCAATGCTGCCTAATGTTAGGGAACTACGTTACAGTCATAAAATAATTCCAGTAATATTATCCTAAACTCTTCATGCATTAGTAACTTTCATTGTGCAACTCTACCTTTAAAATGCAAGTCTCTCTTTCTCTCCACCCACACTCTCTGTGTGTTTCATGTGGTAAGAATACATTTATTGAGTTAATTCTCCAAGTTCAGATTTGGATATGCTGATAAATGTGGACAAATGTGAAAGGCTAACTGGTTTTAATGAGGCTGATGCTTCCATTATTAGGGGTGTGTTGTACCCTAATTAATCTTAATCTTATCTGAGATGAAGTATTGGCTGGGGGTCGGATAGAGCTTTCTCAACATTGCAAAGCATGGCAGTAAATATGGCAAGCATACAGATGAAATGATGTGGTCCCTATCTTTCTTGGCATTGAAGGAAGTTAACTACTGTGCTTACAGCCACCTTATCCCTCTCTCTCATACTCCACCACTCCCATACTTGGCAATAAACATTTTTAGGCATTCCTTTCAGCCTTTCTTAGGGTGCTTCCAGATGCAGATTTTATGGTGCAATCACTTTACTTCAAAAGGAAAGATCTCATCTTCCTGTCTACTTGTTACCCTCCCATGCTTTCCCATTCTTTCTTCAGTATTTTTCCTTACCACATCCCATCAAAAAACCCAAAAATATAAAACAAACCAAGACACCACCTTCAAGGAGAAAAATACAGCAGTGCTGTACAATGCCTTTGGATTAGTAGTGCTAAATTGCTTTTGTTGGATGAGCCCTTTTACTGAAGTTAAATTTCTTAACACAGAGACCTGTTCAAGTCCTATTGACTTCTGTTACTTAACAGTGTAGAAAATGGATGTGCTGCTGTGGATGATGGGAGCTGTAGTCCAAACCATCTGAAGGGCTCCAGGTTGGGGGATACCATAGTATTTAAGCAAGATACTTGTTTTCCCCAGGGGAGTTCTAAACAAACAAGCAAAAACTGAATCCAGCTTGCCCTCTCTGTGACAATATCCATGGCTGTGGTGGTACGGGGAGAATTGTAAAGATTTATTTTCCTTCCAATCTGGTATTTTGGAGGAATGTGCCTTTAAGGGTTACTATAGCAATCCAAACTGCTATTGAAACTGTAAACACCCATGATGACTTGGAAGCTGACCCCGCAAAAACATTTCTCTCCTTTGGAGCCAGCCGTGCAACAACACTGGCTTCATAGGCGACCCCCACTGAGAGAACACCAGGAGTCAGAGGGGGGTTTTCTAAAAAGGAAAAAGCCAAAGAAAGAAAATGAATTCCTTGACATCCTAGATAGATACTTCAATCCCAGGGAAGGGAAAATAATACATTCTAATTTTATAAGAAACCAAAGTTCCTGTTTCAGCATATTCTGAGCATTCGCCATGTATTTTGGGAGTCTGCAAAGCTGCATTTAACACACACACACCCCCTTGCCAAATGCAGAGCCTTCCTCCTTTCCCTTCTGCTTCAGAAACATGAATGAGAAAGTTGAGACTCGAAGAATCAAAGACTTGTTTTTCAATGTTGGTATGGCCTTCTGCTGACCATTTTGTCAGGCAGCTCAATCCATCTGGTATTACTTTGGGATATAGGAAGGGGACTCCTGAGGATTGGGTTCTCTCCTGTGTTTTTGAATGAGAGGTTCCTTGGTATAGGGAGGAAGGACCTGAAATTGGCCAAAATTGGAGGTGCAGCTGTGGGACGGTGACCCAGTCGCTCTTGGGGGAGAGACTTGCATCTACTTGTGCTCTGCTTGAATATTTGCAAGCATGAAACATCTGTCACAAAGACCTCCTAAGTTTCAATTCTGAAGGAAACTAAAACTAATAGTGCTGCTGCTGCTGCTGTCACTACTTAGATGGTTATATTTATATTTTATTTTAATTCCATTATGTTTTATGGTTTGTTTGTTATTCTTATTTATTTTTATTTATTTGTGTGTGTGTGTGTATTGCCCTGTGATCTGCCCAGAGAGCGTCTGGCTGTGGGTCAGCATACAAATGTGCTAAATAAAGTTTCCAAAGAAAAAGCATGTTCTATAGTAAGAACATTTCTGGCAGAGGTGTCAAGCCTCTCTCAGCCTGAGGCTGCAGTCCATTTCAGAGACGCTGCCAGGGATGGACAGGGCCAAAAGCAAAGGAGACAAGGCCAAAAATGCCAGCATCTATTAGCTTAATGCTCTTACTGCCAATAACTAAGTAATAAGAGATGGATTTCCATTTATGTTCTGTTTGTCTTACTTGAAAAAGGACATGACTGAGTTGAAAAAAGTGCGGAGAAGGGCCACAGAATGATCAGGGGGCGGGAACAGGTCCCCTATGAAGAACGGCCATGACCACTGGGACTGTTTAGCTTAGAAGTAGGGTGACAAGGGAAGGCATGATAGAGGTATTTAAAAGAATGCATAGTGTAGAGAAAGTAGAGGGAGACATTTTTCTCCCTCTCCCATAACACTTGAACCCAGGGTCAACTCATTAAGCTGATCAGTGGAAGGCTTAGGACAGATACATGGAAGGACTTCTCCAGCCAGTGTATAGTTAAGTTGTAGACTTTGCTGCCATGGGCAGTGGTGATGGCTGCCAATCTGGATGGTTTTGAAAAGGAGGGACAAATTCAGGAGGGAGGAGGCTATCAGTGGCTACTAGCCTTGCTGGCCAGCTGCTTCCTCCTCCACCAGAGCTGGTCTGCCTTCATACCCCCATTGCTGAGGAGTTTGGACAGGAGGAAGCCTTGAGGGATCCCGTGAGGAGCTTTTTTTCATTGTGTGTATGGAGGCTGGACTAGATGGACCTTTGGTCTGATCCAGCAGGGCTTTCCTTATGTACTTTTATTCATATTTTCGAATGGTGAGATAACACACAAAAGCTCAGAAATCACCTAATGACTGGTGGTTGCAGGGAAAGGGCTGGATCCAGGAGGAGGGTGCGTGGCAACTTGGGTAATCCCTGAAAGGCAAAATATGGGCTGAACTTCTGCACCCCTGAGTTATGGGCTGCAAAGAACTCTGTATCCCAAAATAGACTAGCAGCACCACCCAGAGTGTCTGGGACTTTGAATCCCTGCTGAGAACCCGTGCATGGTTTTAGGCCCAATACATTTGACCCTTCAAAATCATTTTTCACAACAGCAGTGGCCCTGAACTATTTTGTCATGGAAATCCAACCCTCTTAGGAAGGTTGGCTCATTTTAATTTTTTTTTGAAAAAAAATAGGAACACAAGAGCATAAGAAAAGCCATGCTGGATCAATCTAAGGGTCTAACAGTCAAGGAGCTGCTCACAAGAAACTCACAAGAGAACATGTGATCGCATTTTCCTGCATGTGTTTCCCAGCAACTGTCCCTGATCATGTATAGCCATCTGGATCCATAGCCAATGATAGCCTTCACCTCCCTGAATTAGACCCTTTTTATAGTGGCCATCACTTTTTCTCCTGTGCTGTATGAGTAATACTTTTTTTCATCAGTCCTGAATCTCCTACCAATCAGCCTCATGGGGTGAACAGTTACTGGCTAATCACCTATCATAACTCCTGATATCAGGGATGGGTCTTGTTTTGGCATTGGTCCAAATTACACTGCATCTTGGGTTGGAAGCCAACTATTGCTGCTCTTGAATTCCTATAAATATGTGGAACCTTCAGGTCAACTCAGTCGCTCATCTTATTTGGAACTACAAACAGCTGAACAGAGATGGTGATGCTCTCAGGCCTTCTTTTCTGCAAGCAGCTTTGCATATAACCGAAAATCCATGATTACACTTTAGAAGGGAAAATGAAAGAGTGCCATTTTATGGATCCCCAGCTTTCCAGGAGACCCTACCAAGCCCTGCATCTGATGATGATGATAGTTTTATTTTAAGAACAGTAAAATTTAGAAAGAAGAGAGGGAAAAAGAAAAAGTAAGAATAAATGTAAAAGATACAAAGAAACAGGAAGAACTAATGTTTCCTAGAATATAAAATATTTAAGGAAAATTGCTGTAAGACAACAATTACTATCCTTTCTACACAATCACATTTTGCACATAATTAAAATTCATATAAAAATTCACATAAAAAATGTAGATTCTTCTAATCTCATACAATTTTCTCAAAACTTCTATTCCATTTTCACTTATATTTTTCCATAGTTATTATCCCTATTAAAAGAGGTTGTGTATAATACAATTTTTGCTTATCATTTTCTTTGGCTGGTTGTCTTTCTAGATAGTTAGTTATTCTTAACATTGCCACATAATCAACTGACTTACTATTCCAATCTTCAGTAATTAAACTTCTGCTTTCCAGCAATCCCTGCATCCTTGAAGCTGTTGAGGAAAGTCTTGCTCAGGCTGTCCTCCTCCAATTTCTCAGCTGGGTCTCAGAGGTGGTGTGTGTGGGGTGAGGAGGGAAAGGGGGCTGGGGCTGCAGAATGGCACCAGCTCCAGTCAGCAGCCCGGCCTCCCTGCCTCTCCCTTCCTGGCACTACATCTGGAAGGCTGCAGATGGCAGAGGCGTGGCCACGGAGGTGGTGGACTTGGTCCCTTGCCTGCAAAGTTCAGAGGCTTACAAGCATCTGCTGCAGGGGTGATAGGACTGCATCCTAAATTAGATCGACTGAGGACACAATCCTATGCATGCTTAGTCAGAGGAAAAGTTTACATCTCTCAGCACTCTCTAAAATGGCTGGTGTAGTTGCCAGTTGTCAACCCTTTTCCTGCCTAAACACACACAGGATCGTGTCCTTAATGCTTTATTTTGCTTTTGTCACTTTATCTTGTCTCCCTCTTTTTTTCTGTGTCAAACCTATTTCCAAACTAAATTTTCTTGATATATCTTAATGATTAACTACATGGGTTTACAGAGTATATTTCCCTGGAATTTTTCCACCCTACACTTCCCGTATGCTGGACTGCCCTTTGTAATCCAAGGACATTTTACAGAGTTTCCTCTCCTATGGCTATCTGTCTTTATCATTTATGCTGATCCCCCAGCCTTTTAAATACTGGCATTTCAGACATCCATTTACCCAAAGAGGGAAAAGCTGCACAATACAACACAATTCAATTTGCAATTCTAACATACCAATCTGATTTCAAATGATGAAGTGAATTTACCATCTGTTCCCTAATATTACAGGCCAGAATGTTCCACACACCTGACAAAGAAAGCAAATGTGTCAGTTCTGCCTGGAATGTTTTTTTAATAGGAATAAGATAAGAATCTTTATAATATATATGATATAGTAACACATGAATAATTGCTTCAGCCTCCCTGAATGATGTGGCAAAAATGCTAACAATAAGGGATGCTGGTTATTTTTTTTAGGTGTAATGAGCAAAACGGTACACAGACTGCCAAGTGCGGTTGCATCCTAGCTTTCTATGAGGGAGCCCTTTGTGCTTCAGAATTGTCAGTAAAAATAATTGTGGCATTCTTTATTTCTGAATTTTAGGTATTTACAATACTGCTTTTCCAAGGACTTTTTCCCACTGAATCTGCATGTTTTGAAATGATGCAATATCATTGAAGATTCATATGGGAACCAGAGGAGAAGCTTTGCTGCAGCAGAACAGATCTGGAGCAAGTCTATGGAGGAAATAGACTGAAATATATCATGTTATTCAGAAATAGACTAAGGAGAAAATGGAGAGGGAGATATTTTTCTCCATCTCCCATAACACTTGAACCCGGGGTCATCCCATGAAGCTGCTTGGTGGAAGGTTTTATTTGTTTAGTTGCAAAGTCATGCCCAACCCATCAGGACCCCATGGACAGCATTCTTCCAGGCTCTCCTGTACTCTACCATCCCTTGGAGGCCACCCAAGCCCATACCCACTGCCCAGTGACTCCATCTAGCCACCTCATCCTCTGCTGTCACCTTCTTCCTTTGCCATTTATTGTTCCCAGCATTAGGTTCTTCTCCAGTGAGTCCTTCCTTCTCATTAGGTGGCCAAAGCATTTGAGTTTCATCTTCAGTATCTGGCCTTCTAAAGAGCAGTCAGGGTTGATTTGCTTTAAAATTGACTGGTTTGATCTCCTTGCAGTCCAAGGGACTTGCAGGAGTCTCCTCCAGCACCACAATTCAGAGGCCTCAATTCTTTGGCACTCAGTCTTCCTCATGGTCCAATTTACACAGCCATACATTACAACTGGGAAAACCATAGCCCTGACTATATGCACTTTTGTTGGCAGGGCTTTGTCTCTGCTTTTTAGTATGCTGTCTATATTTTCCATAGCTTTCCTCCCAAGGAGCAAGCGTCTTTTAATTTCTTGGCTACAGGCCCCGCCTGCAGTGATCTTAGAGCCCAAGAAAATAAAATCTGTCACTACCTCCATTTCTTCCCCATCTCTTTGCCAGGAAGTGATAGGGCAAGATGCCATGATCTTAGGTGGAAGGCTTAGGGCAGACCAAAGGAAGTACTTTTTCAGACAATGTGTAGTTGAACTATGGAATTCATTGCCAAGGGAAGTCATAATGGCCACCAATCTGGATGGCTTTTACAGGGGAATTGGACACATTCATGGAAGAGTATTTGCATACTCCAGTTGCTGAGCAGCTTGGGCAGGAGGAGGCCTTGCACCCATGCTGCTGGAGGGATCCTGTGTGCAGCTGGTTTGCCACTGTGTTCAGAGGCTTGACTAGATGGCCCCCTGGTCTGATCCAGCAGGGCTCATCCTGTGTTCTTGGGAACGCTTTAAACTTTTCCAGAAATTGTTCCAAGCAGCAGCACAAAATCATCTATCAAAAGACCAATGGCCATGACATGGAACAGGTAAAGATTTGTAAATATTTTGGGGTGGTATTTCAGGTATCTGGTCTGTAGGGAGCCCAAATAGCACATCTTACTGAGAAAATTCAATGATTTGTGTCCGCCATCCTCAGATTCTTTTTTTTCTTGGAAGGGTGCTCTTTGATTCCCTTGGCAATTAAATGTTTTCAGGGTAAGGCAATGACTCAATTAATTTATGGCTTTGAGCAATGCATATATAAACACTTCCATCCCTTGGAGGTAATTCAGTTTACGTTTTTGGCTATCTAACCTTGGTGTCCCTAAAGTAAGCTTAATGCTTTGCTCAGATTAGAAGTTGGATTGTTTCTTCTGGACATGTGCGTGTGCATAAATATAATTAGCTTTTGGCTTAAGTTCAGTTTTACTCCCTAAGGACTAGCTTCCTTGATTTTAATAGATAATCTGACCTCAGGATGGGCTGATATGGTGGAAGAGAAACCATGTTATTATGGGATTTCTTCCTCAGCCTTGCTACAATTGGGGTTTACAAAAGCCAATGAAACAATGAATAGATGGATTAAGGAGGGTGCCATGGAAGGAGTCAGAGCCAAGGCATCACCTTATCTGTTATCAGTAAATGTGAGCTTTATGCTCTGGCGATCTTTAAAAATCACTGAGCCTTTATTTGGCCTGTTGAAATTCTGTACCATCAGATACAGGTTGGGTGTATTCCTGCATGATGAATGCATTGGACCGGGCCATTCAGGGGAGGCTAAAGCACTCACTCGCGTGTTACTATATTGTATATATTATAAAGATTCCTATCTTACACTGATTTTTAAAAACCCAGGCAGAACTGACCCATTCTATGTTTGCTTTCTTCAATCAGGTGTGTGGAATGTTCTGGTCTGTAATATTAGGGACCAGATGGTGAGTTCACTTTAGTATTTGATTTATTTTATTGATTATTAATAAATAGTGAACAGTCATCTAAATGGGATGATATAACTTGGTGTTCTGCAATAGCAGGGGGTTGAACCCATGGGCTTTCTGGACCATTCCAACTCTATGATTCTATTTATTAAATGTATTTAATGTATCATGTAAATGTATCATTGGTTTTATAGTAATTGCAGGTTTTATTATATTGTTATATTGATTATGTTTTAAACTTCCCAGAGAGCTGTATGGCTAATGGGGTAGCATATAATTCAAATAAATGAATGTATCATATTAGTATTTTGTTATATGTTATAGAATTGTGGTGTGTAACTTTTTCCTTCTCAGTATGAATGGATATTTTCAGTGTCTGTATCTGCAAGGCGGGCGACAACTTTAAATGAGAAAGGGAAAAAAACAGCTATGGGATAGGCCTGGGTCTGACTGCTGACCTTGGAAATATGTCTGAAGGCCAGAGCTGGGCCTCCCAGTGTGGAATGCCGTCCCTCCACCCTTGAAGCCGTGTGGTTCTTTCTCAGCCAGCTGCAGCTCTGAAGTCAGTGCCAGTTTGCAGCCATGGTGTGCTGGGAAGGGCAGAATTAAGGCTCTACCAGGATACAGGGAATCCCAGGAGGGCCTCAGCCCTCCTCTTTGCGAGCAGCAGCAAAAGATGCTGACAGATGCAATTGGCTATCTATATCTTTGTCCGGGTGGGAAAAGCACGGAGATGACCCTTGCCTCTGTGCTTCTCCTGCCCTTGATTGAATGCCTGCACAAGTCCAAGTTTGGGTGGTTATAGGCAGCCATGTTGGATGTTGCCCTGAAAAAGCCAGTATCAGATAATCCTATGAACTTTCGTGGACACAGTCTACCCCATCAGATGCACAAAGTGGACCCTGAAAGAGTTAGATGGTGAAAGGTATGAAAATTCACCTTACTTAATGGTTCTTGGGAGGCATTAAGGAAGCTGGGGTGGTGTATCACTTAAGAGTGCTGGATGAGAGTCAGGAGATTCAAGTTGTAGTCCCACCTGGCCATGAAGCTGCCAAGGTAACTTTGAACTGTCATTGACTCTCGGCTGAACCTAATTCACAGGTCTGTTGTGAGGATGAGATGGAGAGGAGAAGTCTATGGCAGCTGCTGTGGACTCTTTGAAAATGAAAACGGTAGGACAAAGATATAATAAATGTAATAATACTTTAAAGCCAACATTCATTTTAATATTTATGTATAATATTACAGTATATTTAGAAGGAATAATTAGAACTTGGAAATGATGGTCAAGTGATGCTCATGCCAATAAATAATGAACGCAAGAATGAACCCTGGTATTGTTACTTAATATTGCTTCTGTTATTGTTAGCTGTACTGTCTGTATTTCCATAGAAAATCTCTAGATGGTTTACTACAGTAAAAACATCAGAACAATTAATAGTAGTTGGTTAAAATAGAATTAAGTGAAATATATAAAAATATTAACCATTAAAATACTGGTTAAATAGAAAGGTCTTGGTGTGGCACCAGAAAGAATCTCAGCACCAGACTAATCTCTCTGGGGAACATATTCCACATTCAAGGTACCACCATTAATAAGGCCCTTCTTGTAACAGCCCTCCCCACCTCCTTCAAGAGGTGGGAAGGCGCCTGGAAAGGACCTCTGTAGAAGATGTAGGAGGAGATGTAAGTTGCCTTGAGCCCTTCGCAGGAAAAAGGCAGGATATAAATCGAAATCGAAGATCTTAAGGTCATACTTGTTTAGAAGCAAGGTGCCACTTAGCACTGCCCTGTATCCTCAAGGCAGCAATACTGGCCCACCAATAGGAATAAAACAAAATTTGTTCAGTTCACCTACTTCCCAAATGTTGCACGTTAGGCCCAGTACTTGAACCAAAACTCAATTATTCTTCAAAAATCATGCAACTTGCAATGGATTTCTCCAATAAATAAATCTACAAAAGTGTACATATAAGGGACTGTGCAAGCAAAACTGTGTGAATTACTGAAAATAGCATGCGTTTTATTAGGTGAATTGCTTTCAAAATGTGTATATTAGACCAAATTGTATGTACTAGGAAAAACATTCACACAAAAGTGTATGAATGCACATGTTCATTGAAAAAAAATGTTCACATTACTAAAAATGAGGTGCGGGGAGAAGGGGAGAAATTCAGTGTTTGGAATGAAGTTAAATTAATGTCAGAAAAATTCTCCAAATTTAGGATGAAGCAAAGCTAAAGTATGAAATACCAGAACTGAGTGATGCATCCATCCCTACCCATACAGGCTATTTTTTGCTGTAGCTTCTCTCTTTCCATCCACCGCTAAGAATGTTCCTTAGTGAGCAACATCATAGTATACGGCATGTTAATGATGCACCATCCATTTCTTGATAATCCCGGGATTTATGCCAAGGGACTCTCTTGAATGAATGAACCTTTGAATTACTTCCAGAAGGATAGGCACAGACAAATTTGATTGGAGTTTGGGGGTGAGGTGGGGTAGAGTTGCCATTTTCATCATAACAGAATTTCTATTAGTCTTGCTGAAACATTAAATTTGGCATATGGAAACAGGATACGTCTTAAGAAGGAAGCAAAAAAGAGCAGTTTGCATAAGTAGCTGTAAAATGATGCAAGGAATTGTACATCATGAATTAGAGATGAATTAATTGAGAAACCAAAAAGTAAAAGAGGAGGAGGAAGGATAAGAGCTGTATTCTTTCAGGAGCAGGGAGAGTTAAATAAAGACCAAGGATCTAAAAATAGGAACATTCCACTTACATATTGGCAAAATCTTGCTTCAGAAATGAAGCCAGCTTTTGAAAAGAGATGTCAAAGAGGGGAATCCAGTGAATCATGCATATTAGAGACCCAGACAAGTCAGAACCAACCCTGTTTCACTTGAAGTTCCATTTGTTGCTAGATTTACGCATTTAATTTGGCTGTGCAGACTCAACTATTAGTTAAAAGTGATAATCTAGGCTCATGAGTTCTCCTGGGATGAACTTTTCATTTGTATGCTAATGAATGTTTAATCAGAGCTTGCTTAGTTGCACAAAAGAGAAGGTAATTGAAATTCTCC